GATTTTTAAACCTTATATCTTAAAATTCTAAACACTAAAAAATGTTTTGACCTCTAAACCCCCTTAAACCCTCGTAACTAAACCCTAATAGAACATAATTAACCCAAACATAAATAATATAAAAAAAAAATAATTTTGAAAAAGTGACATTTTTATAAAAATTTTTAAAATGTGATATTTTTATAAAATAACACTTGAAAAATGGCATTTTTTTAAATTTCTCTTATCTCGCTATAACTTTTTTGGTGGTCTGTTATATAAATACTTTTTATATACTATAGTATCGTTATTCCGTGGGACTTGGAGTAATAATTACGACTACTAAATTTATTGCTATATTAACGTCAATTCCCGTGAACAATAATTTTCGAATGTATACTTTTTGGTGGATGAAAAGAAGCCCCGTATCCACATATTTATATACATCCATGCTTTTATGTTTTGATCCATTTATATATGGATGCAGTATAGTATCATAAATGTGTGGGCCGGACGTGAAGGACCAAACGATTTTGACGCCGCAAATATAGACTAGTTTCTATTTGATTGTTGAATCCTATTATTATTTCACGAAAGAGAGAGGTAGAGAGAGTTGATTTCACTGCAACGTATGGTTTAAACTTAAAGCTGAAATGAATAATGACATGTGATTAATTATAAAAATACTAAAATCCGTAAGAACTTTTAGCACAGACACGTAATTACGTAAACTACGGATATGTTGTTAACATTTGACCCGCTCACTAATCTTCTCACTTCTTAAAAAAATTATAATAAATTTTATGAATAAATTCAACCATTGATTTTGACAAATTACCAAACTATTTCCCACGTTATTTTCTAAGCCAATCAATAATTTGCAGATAAAACTTAAAGAAGCATGTCTGTCAGTCTGTCTCAAATGAATTTATGGACACATATAGTAGTTACACCTAAAATTTAAAAGCACATTCAAAATGAATTTAATTTTGGCAAAAGATCGAAAATATCCCAGGCAAAAAAAAGTGAGATATAGTGGATTCCTCGAGTTTGTTAGTGTGGAAGGATACCAAATTATGTAATATGGGAACAGTCCCACTCATTTTCAGGAACGTTTCTTACTTTTAGTTTACGATTAGTAATTTACATATCACATGGGTTGCATTGTATCCCTTAATAAGTTAATTTTAGCATCAA